GAGCTCTCACCATTGGCTCTCCTAGGTCTCCAGACTGGCAATAGCAAACCTTGAGACTTCTTAGCCTTCCAAATCACTCAGGCCAATTCCTTATCATAGACATACTTAATACACACGTGTGCACATCCTGTTGGTTCAGTTTCTCTGGGGAACCCTGACTAACACGAGCTTCCCATCTGGACCAGGTCCCTGAAGTGGGGTGGGCACCATGCATGTGGAGGCTCTTCCTGTGGAACTTTTGCAAAAACCAGTTATCAAATCAGAATCTCCAGAGAGACAGTAATACTCACCTGAGAGTGACTTCCAATAATTGACAAAACTTAAGGGAATTAATATTTCCCTCTTAAGGAGCCATTCAGGCTAATAAATGTCAAGTTTCTTTGCTTTTTAACTGGAAATATATTAGTTCAGTAAGGTAACACCAATTTTCTCACATTGACCAGTGGCAGTTATATGTGTTTCAGTTAATGAAAAAGAGAAGATAAATTATTGCTTAATATATGACATTTAATAGATTAAAATATTTCAAAACATGGAATGCATGGAGAGAGTTAAGGTATGATTGGTATTTTTGATCTAATCTTTACCTTTGAAATAAGTTAGCATATCAGAAATTTGCCTAGGTTATTTTGTAGTGCACGCCTCTCTGAAATACAGTTCAACATTACATCCTCAGTTTGTATCCAGAGTCAATTAAGAAATGGTTATATTAGATCAAAAAATTATGGTACATTTACACAATGGAATTCTATGCAGCAGAAAGAAAGAAGGAGCTCCTACCCTTTGCAACAGCATGGGTGGAGCTGGAAAGCATTATGCTAAGTGAAATAAGTGAAAGACAAATACCATATGATCTCACCTTTAATAGGAACCTAAACAACAAAACAAAGGAACAAGCAAAATATAGTCAAAGACACTGAAATAGAGGACAGACTGACAGTGACCAGAGGGGAGAGAAGAGGGAATTTCAGGGGAGAATGGGAGGGGATTACAGGAACAAATATAAAGGACACATGGACAAAAACTAGGGGGGGTGGAAATGGGAGGGAGGTGGAAAGGGATGGGTGGGTGGGCTGGGATGGGAGTAAAGGACAGAAAAATGTACTTGAACAATGATTAAAATAAAAATAAAAATAAATTTTAAAAAAGAAATGTTTATACAAAGAACATTCCAGCACCTTACATGAACTCACTACTGAAAATATGTCCCCTGTATTAATCATGTCTTTTAAATAACAATTATGTTCTAACAACAGGAAAAATTTGACTCCTCTGACAAAATAGATGCCATTCCCATAGACTATGTGAGCCACAGCCCTTTCTGCTTTGACTACCAGGAAACTCAAATGAAATCTGACCCACTTGCTTTAATCACCATTGCTTTTTATTTCAGTTTCCATTATTTCCCTACATTTTCCTACTTCCTCCTCAATTACATAATAATTTTTAATGTGTCCTTTTAAATGATCCATTTGTATTTATGCTTTTGATTGTAATCCATCTCCAGTCCTGTTTTGGGAAATGAGCTAAGACATGAATCAACCCTAAATTCATGGGGGCAGAGCCAGGAGTAGAACTCAAGTTCTCCACTCATCACACCTGCTGCCTGTCCTTTGAAATGAGCACCTCCAAGCTGTCCCTCCTGTGCTGGGAGGGCCTGCTGGCTTTCCCAATGACTGCACTGCAGACACCGCACATGGAGCCATTATGTTTACGGACGCCCTAAGGACCCATGCTGTAGGAAACAGAAATCCCCCAGCACATAGTCCAAAGGCCATCTGTTCCAGCCTCTCCACTGACTCCACGTCTGGGCTTCTGGCTGCCTTGGCCGATGTAAGGGACTCGGCCTGTCCCCCCACCCCCACCCCAACACCGCAGATGTTGGCTGTGAAAGGAAAGAACAGGAAGGAGCAGCCCCGGTCTGGTGCCAACTGTGCTGCCCAGCACATCGTATGTGAACAACTATACCAATGACAGTAACAATAGCAATTATCTTGTGTTGCATTGCCTCTATGCTAGGCATCCTAAACATACCGTCACTGCTCCTAACAACAGCTCTCAGTGACATTTATTACTCCTGGTTTGGAGATGAGAGGAGCTCTGAGCCTAGTTGCCTAAAAAAGGTATGACTTGCTGGAAGTTAACAGCATCTACTTGCATGGAAAGAACTCAAAAGCTAAAGTCCTCATAGGCTCCTGGGGACAGCATGCATGACCCCTACGATATTACTCACTCTATTAATAATAGCTACAAAAGCTTTGACAGATTAGACAAAAGTGATTTTCACCCATCCCAGACATGTCACTTAGCAATTTAGTGGACTCTGGCTGGATTAGCATGGTTTTATTGATAAAAATGGAGTTGGTTATCTCCCCCTCAACCATTCCTGACCTTGTCTCTGCTGCAGGCAGCACTTGGAGAATAAGAGAATGGTAAGAGGTGAGAAGGGGGGTATCCACTCATATACATGAAATGGATAAGAAATAAACCTAGATGATGAAAGGGAATGAGAAATAAACATAGATGCCGAACACAGCCTAGAAGGACCACCTTGGTAATGAGCAGAGGTGAGAAAGCAACCATTTCAACCCTTCCCAGGCTGCTCGGGGCCAAAGGCCAGGCCTTCCCACCCTCTTCCTGTGCATGGATGAGTGTCCCTCACAAATGCTGGCTCTTCTGTTGTTGTTTTTGGAAAACAAATGCTTCCTTCCAAGGTTCCCCCTCCCAGTTAATATCCGTGCTCAGGACTCTGAGTCCCTGGACGCATTACGATGGATTTGTCCAGGTTTGAGATCTTGATTTCATGATTTCCTCCCCATCTTCCTGGTCTCTCCAGAGCCCACTGAGTTATAACACAAGCTTCCACAGACCTGGAGGATGCTTAGATGGTCCCACACCATGCCTCAGTCTTTCTCTAGGTTCCCTCTGCCACCAGGATGTGGTTTTCTGCAAACGTAGTTTATTCTCATTATAGTCACTTCCCAGAACCATTTAAAAAGGACAAAAATGCCACTGGACCCAACCCTTGCCCTCCACAGACTTCCCTATCTCATTTTCCCTTCCATGCTCCTTTCTCATCTCAGGGACTAGGTTTAACCCCCACCCCCAGCCTGGAATCAAATCTCAGATTAATTTTTAAAAACACATGCATCCTACACAGCATACCAAGTTGTTTCCTGATTATGACACCCGCTGTGAGGTCAATGACAAGCCACTGCATTCTATGAATATAAAGAAAATCTGGGTCATGTGACTGAATCCACAGAAGGATGTCAGAACTGTCCACCTGTGTCAAGTCTGGGGCCCAGAAACATCGGGGAAAAGTTCTTTCTGTTACGCCTAGAGCATGGTAGGAGCCACCAGCTGGCTTTGTTCTCCTGACTCCCTGACCTACCATATTTACAAGCAGAATCTGTCCTGTGCTAACGAGTTGCTATTTGGCACACCATTTAATTAGTGTTCTGATGTCTGGGCACATGCGCGCTTCCCATTGTGCCTTTGACTCTAGCTCTCGGAGAGTGTGGATTACTTCTGTGCCCTTCAGTGTCTCTCCAAAGACTCTCCTACTGTGGGATTTCCACCAGGGTTGGCTGCCTATTGCATCAGCAGGGAAATTGATTGGGGGACTAGAATATGTCTAAAAAGATTTGAGAACACAGACACAATAGCGAACTCCTGTATTTCCATAGTACTGGTTAAGAATTAGATTGCTACAATAACCTCCTGAGAAAAATAGGGCAGATATTAGTATGCCCATATTACAGATGAGAAAACTGAAGCTCTAAAAGATGAAGTGACATCCCCACATCACATAACAATTAAGTGCGGGACCAAGGCTAAAACTCTGATCTTCTGAGGATTGTCTAATGAAGCCTCTACCACACTATGCCTCCAAAATAAATAAGAATGAGGGTGGGAAAAACCTAAGTGCCCGTCAACATAAGAATAGATAAAGAAGATATGGTGTGTATTCAAGATGAAATATTGTCCAGCCATGAGAAAGAAGGGCATCCTGCCATTTGCAAAGACATGGGTGAAACTTGAACACATTATGCTAAGTGAGGTAAGTTAGAGCAAGAAAAGGACTGTACGATACCACTTATATGTGGAATCTAAACATCTAAACTTTGCAAAGACAGAAAGTAAAATCTTGGTTACCAGGGAATGGAGAGAAGGGAATAGGACAGATGTTCAAGGTCAAAACTTGCAACAAGTAGTAAATAAACCCTAGAGATCTAATGCACAGTAGAGTGCATATAGAACGTACAATAATATTGTATTATAATCATCAAACTTGCTAAGAGGCTAGAAATTAATTATTCTAACAACTAGAAAGAAAAAATAATTATGTAATGGGATAGAGGTGCTAATTATTGCTACAATGGCAATCATATTACAATAGATAAATGTATAAATCAGTACATTGTATTCCTTAAATTTACACAAGGCTATGCATCAAACATATTTGAAGTATAAAAAAATGCAAAACAATTTTAAATGGAGGAAAACTCAGAGATAGCTGTGTTATAATATAGCCTTGCCTTAATCATCTCATCTACAAATTCAAGTGCAGGTACTACCTAAACTATAGGTGGTAAGTTCCAGCAGGATAAATGTTTGGGGGCATATAAACTCTGAGAGTGATAAGCTCTCAAGTGTATGAGCTTGTGAAAGGACCAGCAGAAACCAGAGGGAACAGAGACAACCACTGCTCAGGGACTGACTCTGGGAATGAGGAAAAGAAAAAAGTGGTAGAGAAATGAGAGGTGCGGAAGGGTGTTCAAAGAACAAAGAGTAAGGCAAGGAGGAGGCATCAGGAGAGAGAGGTGGAAGGGAGAGGGAAGAAGGGAAGATAAATCATGGGAATGAAAGAAAGATGGGAAAGAAAGACAAAGAGGGGTGAGTGGAAGAAGGACACATTTCTGTGTCCCTAGGTTTCCTGCTAACGGGATGGTCCTAGGGGACAGAAGCAGTCACATGGGCATTAGAGTTTTGCTCACCTTCTTTCCATGGACCAGCCAGCAAAGATAAAAACATAGGAAGTAAGATACACATAGAATGAGATTAACAGAACATTAGATATTCAGATAAATTAGAGAAAGGAGAAGAAATATACATACTGAAGTTAGAAGGCAGACAGAAAAAAGAGAAGCAAAGGGTTGGCCAAGTTAGGACACCATTGGAGAAAAGCAGGAGCATCTGTCCAAGGCTATGGCTTGGGTCACGTTGCCAGCAGACTGGGAGAACATCAGTGGAAGGGGAGCAAACATCCAGAACAAAGACGACACGTTGCATTTGAGGACAGCAGTAACAGGAGTGAAAGGTTTAACACTAGGAAACGAAGAACACAGCAGTACAATTGAGGGAGAAAAGATCAGTGTGGTCTTTATGAAACTTAAACACTCAGACATGTGACCTCAAAACATTTTATTGGCAGAAGTTTGTGGCTAATATCCATGTCTGTGTTTGTTCATTGTTTAATAGTCTTGTGTCCACCTGCCATGGAGGTAGTATCTATCTTAACAAGCCTGTAAAACACAGAACCCCAGATTTTATCCTCCTTGAGGAAGGGATTCATAATGACATCACACATGATGGTACTTGATGAGTGAGCTTTGAAGGGGATGGTAAATCTGTTGGTAATGAAGACAGTGTAAGCATAGCCAAAAAAGCTCATCAGAATGGTGTTGCTGACTATAAGGATACTAATGGTAGTGAAGATGGTGAAGAAGGCAGGTGACACAGTGGTACAGGAGGTAACAAAAATGGAGTTCTGTCATTGATGGGGAGGGTGGAAATTACGGGAGTTAGAATGATGAAGATGATCTCCACAGAGCTCGGTCGCCACTTGTGAAATGACAGTATGGGGGCGGGTTGTATGACAAGGACACAGAGACGGAGACAAAGAAGCCGAGAGAGAGAGAGACAGATAAAGACAGAGATCACCATAGATCACTCGTGGTCAACCTCAAAAGCTACACTAGATTATCATCTGCCCCAGGGCCCTTCCTAGAGACGTCTCAAACGGCCAAAGCCAACATCCACACGTATCCCCTAAAATGCCTAATAGAAGAGAATGGTTTTGTCTGCGGCCTTATTTTCTTTCTGAAGGTGTTTTCTGGATTTTGTTTTACTAGACCATCACCTAGGAATTCCCTGGGAAGGTTTTTAAATTATACATAGATTATACCTGCGGAAAAGGATGCCAGAAACCATCTAAACTGTGCGGCTCTCAACCCAGATATGGGTCACAACCTTCCGGGGATTTTTTTCACAATACTGATGCCAGAACCTCATTCCCAGCATCCCCCCCCCCCGCCCCCCAAAAAAATCAAAACCCCAAGATGGGACACTGGTATGAAATTTTTGAAAATATTCCCAAATAATCTTGATCAATTCTTCTGATTGGGAGAGTTCTATTTTACAGACAAGGCAAGCGAAACCCGCCAAACACAATACTTAGTGGCAGAGTCAGAGCAAGAACATTCACAGCAAGGTGGCTGCACTTTTCCCGCATGCTGCTGACCCAGTCAGCATGGCTTGCTGTCTGCTCTTATTGCTACACTCACTTTAAAAAAAATGCCTGGCAGTGTTGGGACCCCGAGGAGAAGGAGAAAGAAGGTACGATGGAGAAATCGAGAAGCTGGATCAGGGCCATGTCTGGCTTCTCGCGGAGCCCATCCCAGGTGGAGCTCTGAGGTGAGAGGATTTCCAAACCCAGGCCTCTCCCCATGCTAACTCTCTCTTCCTGTCCCACCCACATCATTGCCCCACACTTAGGGTCCCTGGGGAGGTAAGTGTGACTTCAACTTCACAAAACCCATGTCCCACCTCACCCTGTTCCCAAATCATCCACATATATGCAGCCCTCAAGAGGCCCCCAAACCCAGAAGAAACATATTCGTACTTTCTTGGTGGGAACTTTGATCTTCAAGAACTCTGCCTCTCTGGCCAGCACCTGCCATGGGGCGTGTATCCGGACAAAGATGGATCCTTGGCTTTTACTCTGTAACGTAAAAAGGAAGAAGAAATAGAAATGCTTATAAGAACATACCTTAAATTTCTGGCTCCCCAAACCAGAAGCCCCAAGTTGGTATTTCTCCAGTTTCTGGGGTTTATTCTCTTTAAACTTTATCAGGGGTCAGTCTCCTCCTCCCCATACCCCATCCGGAAATGTTCTCATCAAAGCCCATAGGGTAGTGTTCCCAGAGTGTGGTTCCTAGGGTTTCGTGGCTTCCTAGGCTTTGGGGGAAGTTAAAACCACTGTGTTCACAGATTTGAAATGTGAGCAATTATAATTTTCATAAAAATCCTGTTAACTGTTTATAGCAGTAACTTGCCTTACCTCTGCCAGCATTCAGTGACAGCTGCCACTTGTCTCCACTCACATGTTTTCACTGCCGTTACGTTTGTATTTTTGTACTACTGCTGTGCTTGGACACAGCCCCAAATCACAAAAGCAGTTCACCTAAGCCTACCAGTAATTCTATAAATAATAATGTAAATAGTGTAACTCCAAATTCTAACGTAAACATAAAGCATGAACAAGGCTCCCGTGTGCATATGGAGTGTGCACGTATGAGTGTGTTCCAGGTCAAGTGATTCTGTGAGTACATGGATTTCACACAAAAATGGAAAGGAAGGAAAGGAAATGCAGTGATGGGTATCTGAAAATTAGGTCTTTTTTTTAAAGTTCTTCTTTATTTAGAGCCCTGGCTGGCGTAGCTCAGTGGATTGAGCATGGGCTGCGAACCAAAGTGTCACAGGTTCGATTCCCAGTCAGTGCACATGCCTGGGTTGCAGGCCATGACCCCCAGCAACCGCACATTGATGTTTCTCTCTCTTTCTCTCTCCCTTCCCTCTCTAAAAATAAATAAATAAAATCTTTATAAAGTTCTTCTTTATTTATTCTTAGAGAGAAGGGAGGGGAGGGGAAAGAGAAGGAGAGAAACATCAGTCTGTTGCCTCTCCTACGTGCCCCGACCAGGAATCCAACCAGCGACCTTTCACTTTGTGGGATGACACCCAGCCAACTGAGCCACGCCAGTCAGGGCTGCAACTTTGGTCTTAATGACTCAACAATCCATCTGGCCCTGACTGCAGTGTCTTTTATAAAAACAGGTCAGATTATGACATGAAGCCATCAGTTTCTACTCACCTTCAAATAAAACCTCAATTTTTTTTCAGAACAAGAACACACAGGAAAAAAATACTTTCTGACAATAATTTAATTAATTTTGTCCACAAAGAATGAAAGAGACCCGAACAACTAGGAAAAATAGACAAAAGCCCTACCATTTGTGTGAAGCGTCTAAAACTACCTGAAAAGGTCATTGTGAACACTGTGGCCACAGAGAAAGTAGAACAAAATGCTAGCAAAGTTCCTTCATCCAATGACTGTTGGAAATCACCTCAAACCTGTGCACCACAGCGGGAAGGTCCTGGTGTGCTGGCCAACATGCCACTAGGGCACAGCCTCTGAGGGGCAGAGTGGGAAGAGAGAACCTAGGAAGTGTGCCCTGTAGAGACCGGCTTGCACCTTCTCGTTCCACTTACCCCCGAGAACCCACCTCCTACAGGAGGAGAAGGGGCTTTTATTAAATGACTATGTATTTTGTGAAGCAGGATGCACAGAGACAAGTACTGGGAAAGCACCAACTCTGTGTACAGCAAAGATGTCACTGTTCACATAAAATCAGTGTTCCTTTTGGAAATCATTCCCCAGCTTCATTCACAGAGACCAGTCAGTGGTCAACCACTCACCCCCCGGTCTCAGTTTAGTGTTGAAGACCACAGTGGAAGCCATCCACGCACAGCCTCTGACCATCTGTCTGCCCTTCCAGTGTGCCAGGCAGAGAATTAAGGAACAACACTGTTTTCTCCACTGAAGTACACTGACTATAATGGTGCTCACATTTGTTTTAGAAATGACGAATAAAATAAAAGGGCATTTTATAAGGCTCATAATGTAAATGAAAACTATTCCTATGATTCTTTAAAGATTTTATTTATTTATTTTAGAGAGAGAGGAAGGGGAAGGAGGGAGAGAGGGAGAGAAACATCAATGTGTGGTTGCCTCTTGAGCGCCCCCTACTGCAGACCTGGCTCACAGCACTGGCATGTGCCCTGACTGGGAATCCAACCAGAGACCCTCTGGTTTTCAGGCCTGCGCTCAATCCACTGGGCCACACGAGCCAGGGCTACTTCTGTGATTTTGAATGGTGGTTCTACAACATATTCAGTAATTCAGACATCCAGAACCTACCCCTTCTTTGGGAATAAAAGCTGATGATTTATAAAGGAAAAGAATAAAAAAGAAGTCAGGATTTTGCAAGAATATTGAACTATGATATGAAAATCAGGGATAGTCTAGATTTTACAAATACCTGAAAAGAATAACAATAACCATGGTGCTTATTTACTGAGTGTGTATCATGTGTCAGGACAGAGTCGGGAGGTCGTGTGTCTTAGCGCACAGAATAGTCACAGCCATGCTGTGAAGCAGGCACTGTCACCACCTCTATTTAACAGCTGAGGAAATTGAGGCAGGAAACAGTTAAACAATTTGTCCACAGTGACACAGTGCGACAAAAAAAGTATTTTAATCCCGGCCGGCTGCGCTCTGTCTGATGATTTCCACCTCTCATCAAAGCCAGGTGTGACGTGCCAGCGAGCACAGTTTAACGCCACACCCACGGACTGAAACAGGACACAAAGGCATGCTTTTCTGACTAGGACTGAACCGAAGCATGGATAAAGAATCTACAAGGCAGCCCTAAGATGAAATAACCCTTCAGTGGTCAGGTGGACATAGTTGCGGCAAAACACTGGAAGTAGCCTCCAGCGAGAAGTCTCCCCAACTTCTCCGGCCATCTACGGTTGCAGTGTCCAGCACTACGAGACAGAGTCATCGATCACTCGCGGCCACTTCTAACTGTAACTTAAGATTTTCTGATTTAGTGAAGATAAGTTATGGCCCAAGAAACAATGTTTTTGGTGAAAGATTGCAAATAGTACCATCCCTCTCACTAAGATGAAATCAATACTATTATTGATTTTAATATATTTTGTTTTGTCTTTATTTGTAATTGTGGTGAATTTTTTTTTAATTTTATATAGAACTAATGGCTCAAGTGTGTACCAAATGTCCATTACGTGGCTGCAGATGTTCGCAGTTTGAGACAGGACTGGAAGGGCCAGGGTCACACCCCATGGCCTTGGTGGCAGAATGCTAGCTGTCCTCAACAGTCATCCTCCTTTTCTTGATTTGTGAAATAAGCACATGGCATCTAGAATCAACACTCTATCTCCCTTGCAGTTACGTGTAACCATAACACTAATTTCCAGCCAATGCAGTGTAAGTGGAAGTGATGTAAAGCACGTTCTGGCTACCCTCTTCAGAGACAGCAAATAGATGACTTTTGCCCTTTCATCTTCTTCCCTACCCCTGATCTACTGCCTAGCACATGGATATAAGCATCTTAGACCTGGAGATCAAAGTCAAGGTTAGGAATAACAAGGTATCAAGAGTCCTGATTCTTTGAACTGTCACAGCAACCCTGGGCTGTCTTCCGGATTTTTATGTGGAATATAAAATTCTACCTTAGTTAGTTAGCCATTGTGAATTTAAGAGACTTTATCATTTGCAGGCCAACTTTATACTAATGCGACATTGTTCCCAATGTGAGGGCATTAGCTGCCTCTAGCAAAGTATACTTCCTCTCCCTTCTCCTCAAACAGAAATTGTTTCAAGTGAAAATAAAAGCTAGAATGCAATTTTGTGGTGCTAACATCTAGTCATCATGTTCCTTTTATGCCATGCAACACTATTACCTTCTCCTAAAAAAAAAAAACTTGAGAGCTGATGTGAAATATTAGCTGGTGTGACTGGTTATGTTTCCTGAAGAAAAAACAAAAATTCCTGAGTAGAATCAGCACCAAATGCAGAAGCCCTTTCCACTAACCGAGGAATCTAACATTGGGGGTTAACACAGATTGAGCTAGAAAATAACAAGAAGAAGAAAAGGAAAAAGAAGGAGGAGAAGGAGAAGCAGAAAGAGAAAGAGAAAAAGGAAGAAAAGCTCCTTGTTCTCTAGGCCCCACAGACTTCCACTCTGCCCTGTATCTGGATTCTTTGAGGCAGAGTAGGGGGTAGAAAGAGTGGGCTTCAGACTCAAACAGAGTAAGATATGAATCCTGGATTTTATAGCCAAGCGGCATTGGGCAAGCTGCTTAACCATGTATGCCTCAGTTTCTTGATCGGAATAAGGAAGATGAGATACACCTCAGGACTGTCACAAGAAACAGAGTCAAGCAAGTGAGGTCTATATCATACGGCCTGGAATGCGGACCATTCAATAGATGTCAGCCATTACTGACTAAAATGACTGTTTCTTGCAGGGACTGTATCTGAAACTTCTTTCATGTTCCTCAAGCATCCAGCACAGCACTGGACACACAGTAGGTCCTCATTAAATTCTTGCAATTAACAGAAAAGACTTAGAGAAAAACATTCCTATTAGATTAAAATTGTGGATAAGTCACTCTGGTTTACTGCCTTGAACTTTTTTGGTTTTTGTTTGTTTGTTTGTTTGTTTGTGGGGGGTGTTTTCCCAGTTTTTTTTAATGTATTTGATATACAATATTATATTAGTTTCAGGTGCACAATATAGTGATTTGACATACCTTACAATGGGATCGCCCTACCAAGTCTAGTGATTAACTGTCACCCTGAAGACTTATCACGATATCATTGACTATGTTCCCCTTCACCTTTTTCACCTATGTTCCCACCACCGTTTTCAAAATGTCTCATGGACCCTAAAGGAATTCACAAGTTCAAAATATCTTCAGGATTTGTGAACAAAATCAAAAGACATTATCTTCTGAACCCAACACAAATACAACCAAGTAGAAAAGATCAGTCATCAGAGCACATAACTCATCCTTAAAACAGATTTTGTGAATAAGCAATCAATGTGATTGCGAGATCGGGTGTGTGGCAAA